GGAAATACTCGTAAAAATCCACGAATTTGGCACAAGCTGGCTCGGGGGCCCTGAAGGGGGGAAGCTAGGGGTGGTGGAATGGAAAGGGGAACATTCGGGACCAGGTGAGGACCAGGGGAGGAAGGAGATAGTAAGGGATTATCGACTGAGATTCAAGGAGTGGGCTAAAGTTGATGCAACTATCCCCCTAAACCCCCCGGGTAACTTTCCTGATCCTTTTCCCCTCCCCTCCAACTGCCTGGTAGAAAAGCAGTGGTACGGATAAATGCGCTGGTAGGAGAAAAGCGGAGACACAGGCAAGCATTTAAAGGGGGGGTCTGTGTAGTGTGGGGCAGAGGAGCTAGTGAATAGTTGTAAGACATCTGGCGCTGTAAAAGGTGAAGAGGCTCCCCCCCCCCGTGTCTTGCCCTGGTCTGGTTTTAGTCCAATGATAGTCCAATGGTATTGAAGAATGACTCTAGGCTGCGCAGTCAATCCCCTGGTGACAGGGCAATCAATGCTGGCAGGCCTCACTGCCACAGCTCTCACACACTCAGACATTCTCAATGTTGTAAATGGGACGCTGGGCCCGTTTTCCAGCAGGTGACGCTCCCCACCAATAGATGGAGCCCCCCTGCGGGTGTTAGTGGTGTCTGCTCTTATCAGCAGCACTAACACTGGCGAGGGGTCAAAAAAAAAAAGAAAAAAAAAAAAAAGAAAAAAAAAAAAAGGCATTGTTGAGGCTTATCAGTGCAATGTGTCGTGCTATGCTCTGCAGAAGGGACAAGGGAAGATAACCTGGAACCTGAGAACCCCACAAGGAGCCACATAAGTGAGGATAAAGAATGATAGCAGTACATCTAAAATGAAATGAGCCGCCGGTGAGGCCACCAATTCTCAAGAAAAGATATGTCTGCACCACAGTGGTTCATTGCAAAAACCAGAAATGGGAGACCATCCACCAAACCCTGCATCTCTCAAGAAAGCGGCGAGTCTCAAGTAACGAATCGTAGACAACCCCCAAAAAGCACTACCCACCATCTGATTCCTCGACCGTATTAACCATATGCTATTCTTTTTTTCTTTTTTTTTAATTAGAAAGGGCTTCGGCCTTGAGATATCATCATTTGAACTGACCGGCCCTAGGTAATTCAGAATTTCAGTCTTTTAGACTTTTACTCATCTGCTGCCAACCAACGGGGTTCGAACTTGGGTCTGCATTTCAACAGTTCAGCAGTGTACCAACTGACCTTTTTTCTGTTTTGTTTTGCTATTCTACTGTTTCTACATACCATCATGTCACAAGCATGGCATAGTTTAACTTTACATTTCACACCACAAGTGTTATGGTCAGGTTCCACTGAGCTTGATCTTGTGGAGAAGCACTGCAGGATGAGATTTCTTTTGCATTCCGAGCGAGTTTCCGTCAGTCATGTGGAAGGGCGTCCTCCAACCCTCGCACTTCAAAATGCTGATTAATGCAGTGCCGAAGAGAGACGTCAAGTTGATCAAAGATGTACGATAGCTTTGTTTTCTAACATAAGGAAAGCAAAAAAGAAAAAAATGTACTAGGCTTTAGTCTCTCAAAAAAAAAGAAAAAAAAGAAGAAGAAAGAAGAAAAAAAAAAGGTCTCTCGGTGAATAGTATTCAATTCTACATCTTTGCATCTTCATGTCACACGTCGTGCGACCATCATCCATCTTCATCCAACTACCATAATGTAGTCCATTCACTGCTGCTCCCTTTTTTTTTTGTTAAACCGCTAGTACACGGCCCCAGCCTTGCAGAAAGTTTTTGTTGCCACAAGCAAAACTCGGAGGCGCTGCGCGGCCAGGCCCGCCATTGAAAAAAAAAATCGGCGGCCTCTGAAGTGATGTGGGTTTCGTGCTGACGCCCGCAGACCGATATGTGGCGTACTGGTGCTTTAATGGGACAATGCTCCAATCTATTTGTGGGGAGCAACACGTGCTCAGAACCGGGCCCGGCGTCCCTCATGAAAGTACCATTAACCGCAATTTGAATACTCCTGTGGATTGAAGTTCATTAAACTCAATTTACAATTCTTGAATTCTCCTCCATGGCTGTGTTATCCCAGGTCTGTGACCATTGCATGGTCCTGCTCAGACATGATACTGCTTGATGATTTCGATCACATTAGATCGAAATCAATCAAGAAAGAGCAAAACACTCCCTTATGTCTACCTCCTTTTGCTGGATCCCTTGTTAGCCCCTGCCACCTTGTTAGCATTCTTTTTGGAGTTTGTGCTAAATGGTCAATGGATCAGATACCACCGTGGTGTGATTGCTATAGACAAGAGAATTGAGATTTGTGGCTCACTTCTTGATTCTATCCTGGCACTCACTCCGCTCGCCAGAGCAGACGCTCTATCGCCAGAGTCGCCTGGTTTAGGGCGCCGCAGCGACCCATCGCCAAACTCACCTGACTCCCGTTTGCAACTGGCACTATGTGAGCTTATGCAAATGGGAAAAGATTCAGAAGAGAAAATGGTTACCCTGGCATCTAAATGTTTTTTTTCTACAAATGGAAACAACCGCTCGTTACAGACTGATTCTACATCTCATTGGCTTGGGAAAGTTTCCCTTTTGCCGTTGGAAAACTGCTGAGCCGTTCGACCAGCAGCCAAGAGGTTCACCGACGGGCCTAGCTCAGTTGGTACACCCAATGAACTGTTGAAATACAGACCCAAGTTCGAATCCAGATGCAATCAGATGAACAGAATAAGGTAGTTCTGAGAAACAAGTGCGGCAATGGCACTATTTGAAAATGTGAAGAGCAGAAAAAAACAAGCATGGGCGAAAAAAGAGCGGCCGCCGAACTCGAAAAGGCAATGGAAGTGCCGCGGGACGCTGCCGTTGGTAAATTTCCATTCGTTTTCTTTCCCCGTCTGACACCACGGCCGACCCCTGTGGTTATGACACCCGGCCTGGACCTCGACACGCAGTGCTTTCGTCGCGGGCCTTTCGGGTTTGGCGGCTGTTGCTTTCGCCGGTTCGTGTTCTTTTGCCCTTTCGAACTTCTTTTTGTGACACAAACGGACATACCTCTAATTCTGAATTACCTGGGGTCGTCAGTTCGATGAGAATATCTCAAGGCCATTGAGCAGCTAATAGATTTCAAACTAGCAGAGGTGGTGGCGCTTACTCTCCTCCCTGTCGCTTGTGGAAAACCTGACGCGAGCTTTGTGCACCTCTGACATCTGCAAAATCAGCAGTCAGTGGGCGCCATGATGGCATCAAGATTGGTTTTGAGAACTTTAGACTTTTGACTCATCGGCCAGAGCGCGGCCATGTAGGCCTTTCTACAGTTGTTAGAAGAGAACAGCGTTCGTTGATTGCAGTTGCCCATAGGCAGGCGAGTAGCATGTTCGGACCATGAAAACTGGCACGCCAGTACCTCGCCCAGGCAGCTTAAGAATCGAAATTGAGGCCAGCCGAAGATTTCGGATGAAAACACAACAGTGCTACCGGACTATAAAATGGCTGGCGGCGCCAGCCAAAAAAGGGAAAAAGGTGTGCCGCTGGAAGTTCGTTTTCTCTTTGACATGCAATGCGCATCCGCATTCGTTGGGAAAAGAGGCTCAGAGGTACTGGTGGTTAATGATTCATCTGTCTACTGCAGTGATGTTTCTCCGTCTTCATTTCGAAGGCGCTGGAATTGCATGCTCTTTTGGGGCGACATTGTAGCCGCCTCGATGCCTACAATGCCGACATCATCCACCGGAACGCGATTAAACTGGGGCTGCTGTCGAGGGGATAGATTCATCACTTCCATTGGGTTCAAAGCCGATCCCATGGGGACGAAGACGCGTGCATATACCCAAGATGCAAGTGCTCCTCCAATGAGTGGACCTGAGTGAATGAAGATGCCCATGTACACCCAGAATGCCAAGGTGGCACCTATCAATGGGCCAAACCAGTAGACCCAATGGGCCTTCCAGGTACCGGTAACCATTGCAGGACCAAACGACCGAGCGGGGTTCATCGAGGCGCCCGTGTAGGGCACACCGACGATGTGCAGCACGAGGACTGTGAAACCAATTGCAAGAGGTGCTGTTGCGACTGGCCCCCTCGTGTCAACGGCAGTGGCGAACACGACGAACACTAGCACAAATGTCAGGACGATCTCCATGACTAATCCTGCGAAACCGTCAACGCCTTGTGCAAGCCCATGCGACCCTAAGTTGCCTTGCCAAGCTGGAGGAGTGACAAACTTCAGAACCTGGGCACCGCACACTGCTCCTAGGAACTGCATGACCCAGTACATGATACCGCGAAGTAGGTTCACCTTCCCTGCCAAGACAATGCTCAGCGTCACTGCCGGGTTGATGTGCCCTCCTGATATCGCACCCGTTGAGGCGACGAGAATCACAATCGCAATCCCATGCGCGAATGCGATAGTCAGCAGCCTTTCTGCATCCAATTTCTCATCCTCAACCGCGCCTGAGGCAACTACCCCTCCACAGCCCAGGTAAACAAAAAAGAAGGTGGCAAGGAATTCTGCCAGGGCTCCTCGCCAGGCTTCTGTCGACTGCAGACTTTCAGACATCTCTCCAATCCGCGCATTCGGGCAAAACCATTCTGCGAGCGTAGCCCCTAGCGGCATTGTGCAGTTTTCGTCGTAACTGTTGTGTTCTATTGAAGGGAGTGGTTGGGTGCTCACCACCAACCTTGAGCAGCAGGGGACTTGGAATGGATGATGCAACGGTCACCCCACCCTGACGTCACCTCACTTGCAGACATTATTATTCGGGAATCCCACAGTTGCCACACTTTCTCCCGCGATATCACGTCGCTAAAGGTGCCATCTCTGAATCCACGCTGTATTTTAGCGGAACAAGAACAGAAACTTCAGCAGGACATACACTGACCGGACAGCTCGCATTTTCTCAATCATTGCAGATATCTCAAGCCTTGCAGATTCGCCATGGTCAATCGCCGCGTGGCGCAAACATACCCTGCATGTGAATCAGATGCTGTACTATAATGGGTGAAAGCACATTCCCCCTTGACTGTACAGAGCACTTGCCTGTTCCCATACGCTCCTATTACAATGCCATCGAACATACCGATCCATTAGCTTTGTGGCATCTTGTGTGTATAATATATTTATACGGTGGAGGAGAAGTTTTTGAAGGATGAAATGTACACCTACGCAGGTCTGCAAAAACGCCTCACTGATGTCGAAGACTCGTGTGCCAACTCACACATGATGGGTGAGACCATGAGAGAGCACTCACTGTTCCTGTCCGCTTATCCCATCTCAAAGTTGCTATCGACTTATCGCCGTTGCCTGCACCTTGCACCAGATGTCGAAAGCCATAAGCTTTCTTCCAGTAATTCCATGGGGCACATCACATCCATGAGCTTTCCCACCGTCACATCAGGACTGCGTGCGCCAGCACAACCTGCAGGGTGCCCTAACACCTCCAGAGTGAGAGCTCCAACTAAAGCCTGCAGAGCTCAGTGCAGAAGGCAGCCGAAAGCCCGCTCTTAGTTCCATAACTTGCAGCTCGTCAACTGGCAACACCCGCCGCCTAAGATGCATTGTAGTAATATGTGAAATCACAATGCTTTTTTTTCTGACCTCATAGCCCTCTTTTCTCTTCATGGTTACATCAACTTAACAGCAACCGTCTTCAGCCGAATAGAACGCCCGTCGGTCATTATCACGGTACGTAGACTGAAAGGTGGCCCAAATACAGCGATAAAATGACTGGGCGTTCGATTCAGGTGAAGGCGGTAGCTTCATTACCTCTATCACAGTCTCAAGCTAGTTGATGTGGAAGGCAGGCAGCAAGCACAGATATGTAGCATTCCTGAAGACATCCTCCGAGTCAGTCGAACGGACCTCGGGGATCACATCAACGAGTGCCACCACGGCGGCTGAATGGTACCCATCATTAGTTGCTGCTGAAAGCACCAGCGTTCAAATCCTGATATGTACAAAATAACAGTCTCATATCAGCATAACTTCTGCATTCTGACTCTTGCTTACGGGTAACCCGTCGAAGGTCGCCAATGAGGTACCACCCACAAATATCATTTAAATATGTCACCTTGGGTGCATGACATATGGGTACAGCTCACCAGCCAACCAAACCCATACCATCTGAGTCGGTTAAGGGTAGCAAGGTATGGTTGCCATACTCCATCTCACAGAAGTCATAGTGGGTGTGGATAATCGCACAATGTTCCCGACCTATGGGTTTCTGATCGACTGCTTGCTTCGGATTGACTCCCGTGAAGGAAATCTCTCACAATTTGATCGCTATCTCGTTCATCTGGGTTTCCCTGCAAAGGCCCCACGCACGATATGGTTGCCTCTCTCTGGAACATGCCTTTGGATGTTAACTGGTGGACTACAGGTCAGTTCACTCAGATTAGATGCTCTCAAACTCAAAAGCCAGCTTGCACCATGATCGTGCCTTCATGTGGAATGTGCCGGCTCGCCTGTTGGCCATCGCTGCTCTGCAAAAGACAAGTGACATCATGCAGCCGTCAATCACTCGCATGGTAACGTGCCGAGGCAATATTAAGCCTAGGAGTTTCTTTTCTTATTTTCGCTTTTTGGATTCGAAATCAGGTCTGTATTTCAACAGTTCATGAGTATAGTACCAACTGTGCTAGGCCCATCAGTAGGAGCTTAGGAAGTCTAGGGGTTTCCAAAATTGAAGTGAAAAAAAATAAAAAATAAAAAAGAACTAGAGTAGGATTTTCGACCATAGCAGGGACCAGATGCAATTGAGAGAATAAAAATGTATACTCTGAGCCATTTTAGTTCCACAATCAGCTATCAATCAGTAGATTCCCCACCCCACAAAATTGAAAGGGGGATTGTTCCCACTGAACCACCACGGCACCACAATGTTTCATTCCAAGGCCTGCGCAGGGTCGGGGCTGCCGGACAGGAAGAGATAGCGGTGCCAGCCAAAAAAAGAACAAAGGACAAAGAAGAAGAAAAACGCCGCACTGGTGCTTGGGCGAAGCTCGGCGCGCACTTCTTTTTGGCCTTGGGAAAAAGAGGCTCGGAGGTAGTGGTGGTTTCAAAAGAAGAGCATGGTCCAGCACAAGGATGACATGCATAAATCGAGAAATGGTCCCTTATTTTTTTAAGAAAGGGGGAGGGGGAGAGGAGGTAGTAGCAGAAGAAGAAGAAAGAAGAAGAAGAAGAAGGACGACAACGATGACAACGACGACGGCGACGATGACGAAGAAGAAGAAGAAGAAGAAGAAGAAGAAGAAGAAGAAGAAGAAGAAGAAGAAGAAGGACGACAACGACGATGACAACGACGATGGCGACGAAGAAGAAGAAGAAGAAGAAGAAGAAGAAGAAGAAGAAGAGGAAGAAGAAGAAGAAGAAGAAGAAGAAGAAGAACCGCAGAGGGAAGTGAAACACTCATGTAGCTGCAAAGAGAAGGCTCCCAGATATCTGATCTGAGTTCCTGTGTTGTCTGAGCTCAGTCAGAAGCTCTTGTCCTCATCTCCCAACTTTTTTTAACTGTCCTTCATCAAATTCCATGTCCATTTCTTGACTAGCTTTCTTTGCTGTGCTTTCTCATTGCTTCTTCCAGAGAGAGCATACTTGGATGTATCTGATCACGACTACAGTCAGACTGGATGTATCTGACGGCAAATACGTCCAGGAATCACTCCACGACGTCGTGTTCTGAGTATTTCCTGAGAAGATTAAACCTTCTGTACTGCTCGGACTTCATTTCTGAGAAGATTAAACCTACTGGTGCGTGACTGGGTGCTGCTACCGTCTTCACGCGAACACAACGCACCCTCATTTTGGCTGCATCTGGCCAGAAATATAGCTTGTATACATTCATTTTTAGGGTGCGTTATGTTCGGGGGAAGACGGTAGTAAGCATTCCGGCCTGCAGGCCAACCCCTTAGGAGAGGCCAAGGCTTGGGGGGTTGGGGGGAGGGGTGATCTGTAGCAGTCCCCCCCTTGCCAGGTGGTGCCTGGTAGAACCACAAGGGCTGGGCTGTTTCTCTTTTTCCGTCTCGTCTCCCCCCTTCGCTCTGCTGGATGTACAAAACTTGCTTGCGGGTGATAGGCAACCGAACTGTTGGCCCCCAGAATAGAAGGGGCTTTGGGGGTTTTGAAAAGGGAAAAAGAACAACACACTAACTACACTATATTCTTATCTCAAATTCTTTTTTTGCGTAACACCCCTCAAAGTTCAATTTATTTGCGTCAAGCTTTTTGAGTTTATTTGAGTCGCGTCCCTCTTCTGACAGCCCACTTACCCTGCCGTGCCCCTGGAGCCACTAAACTTTTCTGGAGGCACCTGTCAACAAGGGGCGCAACTTTCAGACGCCCTTTCTGCACCGCCGGTCCAATTGCACCCCTCCCTCCGCCATATGCCCTCATGAAGGGCATGCATCTTTCTCTCATGACGTTGCAGCACTGATGCGCCATCTCTCCCTCCCTCCCTCTCTCTCTCTCTCTCTCTCTCTCTCTCTCTCTCTCTCTCTCTCTCTCTCTCTCTCTCTCTCTCTCTCTCTC